AAGAACTAACAGAGCTTTCCCATTCACAGAATACAGCCAAGAAAAGGTGAAGTTGTACGTATGCCGAGCTCTGTTGGTAAATTGAAGGTCTCCAAAGGTGTGCTTCTACAAGCTTTAAACAGCTGCTCATCAAAAATGCACTAGATTTTGAATCCTCAGATGTTTCTTAAAAGCTCAATTGGCTCTTTAGCAATAGACACAAAAAACAATGACACATGTCCTTGAAGAAATAAAAGCCAAAACACTTTTAGCTTTGCCAAGTGAAGATTTTGCTGAAGAGTTCCTCAGAGTGTGGTTGATATTTAGCATTCCTAAGTGAACTGTGAAGCTCTGGTGCAATATAAATACATTTATATTAGTGGTGGTGACCAGAGATCCCATTCATCTTGGTCCCTCTCTCCATTCTGTATTACAGCTAAATGGCCTCTAATAAATCGTATCAGTTTAAAAGGCCTAGTAGGTGTAAATACCACTTACTGGAGCCATTAACATGTCAGTGCCTTTTGGGTGGGTCAATGTCTGAGCTGATGATCTCTTGAAAACTACTAAGAGTTGTGAAGAAAGGAAGAAATTTCTGAGGGTAAATGATGTAATGCTATGGACTAGAGTGTCTTTCCCTCAAAATCATATGTGGAAGCCGTAGTCTCCAGAGTATTTGGAAATGGGGCCTTTGAGAGGTAATCAGGTTTGGATCGGGTCACCAGGGAGGGGGCCCTCGTGATCCGATTAGTGTCCTAATAAGAAGAGATACCAAAGAACTGGATTCCACCCCTCAAGTCTCTCTCCGCCTGCCCACACTGCCAGAAGGATAGAGCAAGAAGGCTGCTGTTTGAAACTCAAGGAAACAACCCTTACCAGACACTGAGCTTGCTGACGCCTTGGTCTTGGACTTCCAGTCTCCAGAGCTGTGAGAAATAAATTCCTGTTGTATAAGTCATCAAGTCTTAAATTTTGTTATGGCAGCTCACACAAAAGAAGATATGTAATATAGTGGAAAGGGATGAAATTTAGCACCAGGAAACCTGGCTAACCTCTTTTCCTTGCTTAACCTCCCCTCTCTCCCATTATCATGAGGTTGTTGTGAGCGTCCCGTGAGAGGTTTATGAAAGTGCTTTGCAAACTGCCAAAAGAAGTGCTATTTAGCTAGTTCCTTGAACATCTTTAGTTTCCTGATTCAAATAATGCGGTGTTCGGAATATGCCACTAAAGTGAAATCCAAAAATTGTATAGAAAAAAAATGAAAAAAGAAGTAAGTTTTGTAAGAGTACTACAAAATGGTTTTGTTTGAAAATGCTGTAGGGTTGAACACACACATGCTAGTTGTTTTAAGCAAATTTTTACAGTTTGTTTGTTTTAAAAAATCTGACAGCTTTCAAAATTTTGTTTGAGTTCCTTTGTTAGAACTCATGAAAAATTATTGTAATTCTACTTGTTTATATTATGTGATTATTTTATAGTATTCACATATTTCTAGTTTATAGTCTATGATATTTTCTATTATATTTGGGAGCTAATAAAATTGATATACAGAATCTGACAAAAAAATAATTGGGAAAGTAGGGAACGAAAATATTTGAGCCTGAAGTTAAAAATACCTACTTTTCAGGCTTGAACTTATCCTGTATCATCACAAATGGCACCTGGTGTTAGCATGTGATCCTTCAGCCTAGCTCTTATGGACTCTTTTTCTGAGTTTTTTAAATAGTGTTTTATTTTGGAGCAGATTTAGATTTATAAAACATTTCTGAAGCTAGTACACAGAGCTTCAATAACCCCCATACCTAGTTTCCCCTGTTATTAACATCTTAACATTAATACAGTATATCTGTAACAATAAATAAGCCAATATTGGTACCTTACCACTAACTAACATCTGTACTTTATTCACATTTCTTTAGTTTTTACCAAATTTCTTTTTCAGTTCCAGGATCCCACGTGACAATTAGTCGTCATGTTTCTGCAAGCTCCTCTTGGTTGTTATGCAGATTTTCCTTGTTTTTGATGACCTTGACTATTTTGAGGAGTACTGATCAGGTATTTTGTAGAATGTCCCTCAGTTGGGATTTGCCTGGTGATTTCCTCATGATTAGACTGGGGTTATGGGATGCTGGGAGGCAGACTCACATAGACATTTTAATTACTTGAATTTGGGGATATTCCAGTGGAGAGTTAATAATTCTCTGACATAAGGAAAAATATCTTGGCCTGAAGCAGCATGGTCCACAGTGGACGGCTCACAATTAGGGAAGCGCTACAAATACAAGAGAATCTTCCGTCAACGTCTGTTCTTTTCCTCATAAACTTAACTAATCCCAGGGTGCCACGGATTGCCAGAGGTCTGTCTACTATCTTCAGTCTTTTCTTTCTGAAGACTTTCAACACAACCTTCTATACTAAATTTTCTGTGGGGAAAATACTCCCAGTTTTTTAATGGAATTTAATAGGAAAACTGTATACATTTTACAGAAATCCCCTTATAAGCAATATTATTGAACTGCATCAAGTATCTGAGACCTTCATACTCTCCTGAACATAAGTGCATAAATAAGTGCATAGGATTTATGTGTTGAAGAGAACTGTAACTCTGCTGCTGCTGACAGGATTCCTTTACCAGGAGAAGAGCCAAATTAATGGAGTCTCTCGACACCAAGCACCTGGGATGCTATTAAAAAATGGAGTAGCATCTGCAGCATCTGCAGCTAGGTCATTCTGGACAGGCTGGTCCTGCAACTCAAGAGAAGCCAGTTTGAATTTGAGTCTAAGACTGGAGGAATCCTAAAATACTCCTCCTAAGAATTAATGACCTTATTTTTTCCTACAAATACTACACTGGTTAGTAAAAAGGAAAACAATTTCCAAGTATAGAAAAAAATATAAATGTTATATAATATTGTACACATCATATGTTCTGTGTTATTTTACAGTTGACAAAAATGCTTTAATGTCTGTGTTTAGTTATTTAATTCCTTTATAATCCCACTGTAATCTTCATAATTATTCTGCTGTGTGCAAGTATAACAATAATAGCTCATACTTACTTAGAGCCCATCTGTGTTTCACATATTTTATCCCATTTATTCCTTTCTGTTGTAGATACTCACTGTCCTCTTCTATAAATGAGGAAATTGAGGCTTAAAGAAATTGAATAACTTGCCTAAGAATGCACAGATAAAGCAGAATTTGAATTCAGGACAAGGACTTCTTGGCTTCAAAGTCTCAGCTCCTACTGGGTTAAACTACCTTTGTGCCAATAATCTAGTTCAAAATGCCATCTGTGAGACTAAGGATCGTGTCTTTTCTTTTCTTAATAGCTGAGGCCTCACAATTAATTTCCATCTTCATGGCACATGTTTAATAATATTTGAAACTAAGGAAGAGGGTGATATATTATTACTACTGACAACTATTGTCAAGGCAAAAAAAAAAAAAATTAAATTGTCTCATCCTAATTGACTCGAAGGCCAACAATAAGATAAGGAAAGGCCAACCATTCAGCATTCTTGTTACCTGGAACCAGAGCAAGAGTGACTTGATTCTCTGTATTAATAGAAATTTGAAGTATAGGAACGCCAACAGATCAGGAGATGATCAGCACTAAAAAGATCATTTGTTACTCATGATTCCCAAGGGAAGAAGACATGCCATCCCTCCATGGCCACACTAAGAAGTACCGAGGTTGGTCAGGAGGCAGAGGGAAAGGGAAGAACTAAGGGCAATAGACTTTATTGTGTTTCCCACAGGAAGGAATGGGTGAGCAGGGGAGACAGGCTTAGGACTGGCTAGTTTGAATAACTTCACAAGGCTCAGGGATATAGGGGCTGAGCCTGGTTGCCTGGTATCTGGCCCAGGGGTGATTAGGGCAGGTGGGTTGTGATAGCCTGATAAAGAAGGTCGTTCAGGTGTGGGCTCTGGGTTGGTTGGTTTATATTTTAAAAGCACTCATGGTCAAGTTGTTTACTACTATCTCTAGGAATTGGCTGACCCTGGGGTGTGTAGGCCTTCCAGGGTCAGCAAGACCCTAAGACGTGAAAACATCAAAATAAAGAAAATAAAGGACGTAGTTAATACACTCCAGCTAGAGGATTTCTGTTCATTCTAACCTGGGAAAAGCATACAAATCTACCCATAAGCAAGGTGGACATACCCAAAATTAACTGAGCTATAAAGAACTGAGATGGGTTTTCATGTCCTATAAGAGAACCCCTCATATGTAGAGGAAAAACAAAAAAAGAAAAAGAAAAAAGGCAGTGACAACTGTAAGGCCAAAAGCAACTATCTGGGCCTCTATCATTTGGGGAGCCTAGAAAGACCTGTCGCAAGCTACTGCTTCCCTCTCTATAAGAGAGCAAATCCCACTGCACAAAAAGTTAGTGTTCATCAAACATTACAAAGTAGAATTGCAACTATTTCTCTTAAATCCATTTCATTAGCAAGGTACATTCTGTGGTGTAGTGTATGTAGTACACACACACTAACATGAGCAAACACATAGTAATAGTTTGCCTAAATCTGAGCTCAGCATCAGACACCATCCACCCCTCCTGCCAGCACACTCCTATCACATGTTCTCAAGTCTACATTTAGTGGATCAAAGGTCAAATGGCTGAATGGGCCTTCTTGTTTTTCTCCAAAGCTTTGAAATATATTAAAACAAAGTAAAGCTAGACCTGCCTATTTTGACCTCACAGTGTCCTTCATACCAGAAGCAGTATTTTCAAATCCAAGAGTGCTGATTACTCCATGAAACGTCTTCTTCGTAGTCATGGCAAAATCAAACACTGCATTATCTCAAGTTTCAGCAAAGACTTTATTCTCTTCACTGAAGTCTCAAAACTGATGGAAGCCAAGGGCCAATAAGTCCTTTGGCCAGAAATGTGGGTGTTCTACAAAAAGAAGAAAGAAGTTGGATATACAGATATAAGGTTCTGTTCGTTAGCCATATTTCTGAGTATTTTTCCTTGGCAAAGTCCCAACCATACTTGAATAAATTAGGCACAGAGTCAAGAGAAGTAAAAAAAGTAATCTGTAAAGAATATCCCAGCAAGATAAGGGTCCATTGAACAGCCAGCTAACTCCTGTCAGAATAGGAGTAAAAAGAGAATTATTAATGTAAGAATTGACTGTAGTTAAAGTGTATTTACTTACTTACTTTATTTATTTATTTTCCTCACCAAAAAGAAAAGTTACAAGAAATAAAGCTTACCAGTGCAGCTACACAGAAACGGTACGTGCTATCCCAGAATAGAGCTACAGGGAGGCTCCAAATGTGCTGACATCCCTAAATAATGAATGAAAGAGAGATCCATTTCACAACCACGTTTTACACTTAATTGGAAAATGTACAGGCTGAGAAAGCATTTCTTTGACTACTGGAGGAGAGATATTTATGACAATAGCTTTTGATAAGGATTGCTAGAATAGTCTGCAGCTTCTGAAGGATGCACGGAGGGTGCTGAGCCAAGACTGGGGACCAGGGTCAGCCATCAGGGCAAACCCGGGCATGTGGCTCACGGCGTCTCTCTCTTCATAGGAAGCAGAGGCTGCTCCACAACTCTCTCCTGGAACAGGGATGTAAAGCCAAGGAGCCAGAAAACATCACCTGTGTCATCTCCTGGGAGACTTCTCGGTAGTTCTGCATCCCTTCAGCTTCCCTTTTCCTCTGGAAACAAATATTTCCAAGGGTTAAGTTGCACTGGAAGACTATCAATGGCTCCGTTGTACTTCAAAAGACAAAGGAAAAAAAGGGCAAATGGAAAAGCAGCTACCACCCCCTACCAGACTACACTTTAATAAGAGGGAACATAATATCTTGGAAATCCATTCGAGGTTCCAAATAAGCATTTTATTACACGAAGCTCACTGATGCCAGTCTGCTAGCTCACATCTGATTATGACAGAGGGAAACTCAATCTCCGGTGACTACTGCTGCGGACTGAACGTCCGTGTTCTCCCAAACTCACGTATTGAAATCCTAACCTCCAGTGGGATAGGGTGGAGCCTTCGTTAGTGAAATTTGCGCCCTTGTAAAAAGGACCTCAGAGAGCAGTCTCACCCCTCTGCCATGTGAAGACATGATGAGGTGACCATTTGCAGTTAGAAACCAGGAAGCAGACCATCAGTAGACGTTAAATCAGCCGGTGCCCTGACATTGGCCTGCCCGGCCTCCCGAAGTGTGAAAAATAAATATTTGTTGTTTAAGCCACCCAGTCTATGCTCTTTCTGTTACCGCAGTCCAAACTACTGAGATAGCATATGACAGTCTCTAAAACCTAATCCCATGATTTAAATTACCTCAACATCAGAACTTCTCTCCATAGATTTTATAATAATTTTCAGCTATATTCCCTCCCTTTCCACTGCAGCTAAATTTGCATCTCTCTGAAGTTTCCAGGATTTCAGATTCTGCAAAATCCTGCTCTGGGTAGATCTCGTTTGAAGCAGCAAGGCTAACAAACACAGGGAGGGATGCGGGTTGGGGGGTGGTGAGACCCATTGGAAATGATCAGCTTTTAAAGCAATCAGCGTGGAAGCCCTGCCAGAAAGAGTGGTTTTCTTCGGAGGGTGGCCCGTGAGTCATCACCAAGAAGATGAGATTCATTTGTCTTTGGAAACAATCTTTTTGCACAAGTGGGACAGACAACTTATAATCTCAGTTGAGCATCTGTGTTATTTTAAAATCACCCATATTAGAAAAATGGCCGATTGAGTGGCTCAAGATGAATCTTCTGCCACTTCAGGAGATTTACCATTTAAGCGTATTTCCCTCCACTGAAGCTAGGCATGAATAAGGACATGCTGTTTCGGGTTACTCAGGGCGTGCTAGAGAATAGTAGCACATCCAGCCCGTAAGAATAGTACATTTAGCTTTTACTCTGCCTTGAATTATGGTGGGTTCTGAGTCATGAAATATTAGCTGCGGGAAACAAACCTTTCCAAGGCAAGGGGGGAGGGGGGAGCGGCAGGGAGAGTCATTAGCTCATTGTAGAAGCAAAGCTGATGAGAGAGGCATCTGAAGCCTGAGTGGCACAGAGGAAGAGATGGAGTGGGGAGAAAATGATGGAGGAGGCACAACAGGGCTGGGGAAGCAGAGGAAGAGAGGGGAAGACAGAGGAAAGGGAAAGAGAGAGGCAAGGAAGTGGAGAAGGCAGAACATGCATAGGGAGCAAAAAAGGGGAGACTAAAATCAAGAGACACAAAATGAAAACAATCTATCTTCAAGGTGGGAGTAGCTCAGTGCATACTTTTTGAGTGAAGTGGGTCAAAAGACTTCAAGTTCCATAATTAATTAAAATTGACAAGAACAGTGTTTTGTGATTTTGGAGGAAAGGCAGTCATAATAGAAGCTCCCATTTGTTGAGTGCCCACTATGTGCCAGGGAGGGGCAATGTCTCGTCTCATTGGGAAGGCAGGAGAGTGTCGTCAAAACATGGGCTGAGTTTGAGGCCCAGCTCCACCTCTTACAAGCTCCGAGTTTCGTGATGTGTTTTTTGACCTCTCAAAACATGTGTTTCCATCTGAAAAATATAAACTAGAAAAAGCAATACCAACCTTGGAGGATTACTGGGAAGATTACATGACCCAGGACGAAAGTATGTAGTGTCTGGCTTCTAGTCTGTGCTTGGCAAATGGAAGTTATTAATTTCACTATTATTAACAGTGATCCCCACAACAGCTCTACTTGTTATGGTATAACGTCAAACTCAATTTATAGATGAATAGACAGTAGTTCAGAGAGGATAAGTAGTTTCTCCAAGGTTTATAGAATTAGTGACAGAGACAAATTTGAACCCTGGTCTGCTCAATTCCCAACTCTGACTCCTTTTGTTAACTCGCCTGGGGAAAGGAGGTGGTGTGTGCATTGGCACTTCTGGCAGGAGCCCACAAAATGTGCAGTGCCCCCAGCCACGGTTTCACTCTTGTCCCCCATCGCAATTCAAAGGGACACACGTAGGGGCAGTCAGTGTGCAGCGTGAGCAAGCACCAACCCCCAGGGCACTTCCCCTTCGCAGGCGTGAAGGTGCAGCCTAGACCCCTACCCGCCCCGTCCCCGCGCCCCGGTCCAGCCCCCCGCGGGGCGGGGCCTGGAAGACCCCAGTCTTCATTTTGTAAAGCCCTTCCCCAAGCTGCTCCGCCACTCAACCCAACCGTCAGTGGTCAACAGGGACTGATAACTTCCCTCCTCTGGACTTACTGATCAAATTGTAAAATTCAGCCTCTACTCAAATCATAATAAAAATGGAATTGTTTTTTACAGCTCTGCACTTACATGATTCCCAGAGAGAATTTGGCATTGGTGGGTGGGTGCTTATTAACAGGAATATCGTAATTGTAATTTCCAGACCTAATTATAAACAAAACCTCAAATCAAAATATGCAGGAAATGTTTCAAAAAGCTTTTTGCTATTCATTATATACTATGTAAAGTAAAATATTCTATAATAAATACATAAAACTAAATTTAACATGGTATAGTTTTATTTTTCCAGAGACATACCTGTCAAATTGCAGAGTGATTTGTTTCAGGTCTAAATATATAAAATATACCACATAGGTTTATAGTTTGTTAGAATACATAGACAAAGTAATGGAAAGTCAAGTCTCAAGCCAAATACACCAAACTAAACACAAAGAAAATAACTTCAGTTCCCCTAAGGAGATACAGATCTCAGAAGACAAATGAGGCAAAGGTCTCAAACTAACAATTCCTCTGAAGAAGAGGATTGGAAATAATAAATGCAGCTTTTCTACTGTAAACCACTCCCTTTTAGGAAACATTAGCAGAAAATATTATGCACTTTCAGAATTTGAACCAACTAAAATTACTATAGTCCTAATACCATGTACTAATAGAGATAATTGCAAGACAGAAATGCTCAGGAGATTCCTTCCTCCTCCTCTTTATGAGAGAAACTTGGGAAAAGTGGCAGTTGCTTTGATTTCATACTGAAATGAAAACTCTAGCAAAAAGGCTTATCATATCTAAGTTCTTATAACTCGGTCATCTTTTAAAGTATTGGTAGAAACAACTTAAAAACCAGGTACACGCAAACAATAGCCAGTCATTTTAGACTCTCTTTAATGAATACTAAAGTTAAGTTGTTAAAAATGAGAGTGCAAAAATAAAGGGCGTGGATCTGCAAACGGATCGGGAGCACTGTGTTCGGCTGGGGGGGGGCTGAGATAAATGGAATTCATTTCCTACCCGGTGCCTCCAACATCTTTATGCTTCACGGCAACCCCACTCCGAAGATGAGAAAGGGATGTGCAGGGAGAATAAACATCTTGTCAAAAGTTCTGGAATTTAAACCTGAATCCTTTTACTCTTCTTCATTATGTCACCCTACCGCGTTAATTAACGTCTGTCTCTGACTTTCACGTTTATAGAACCTCAGGTTCCTTAACGACAAAATGGGGATAAATAATCCCAGTTTACAGGGATTTTGTGAGAACTCAATGAGATAATAAATGTGGAGGTCATAAACACATCAAAAAGCACCCTGCAGTTAGTTTTTAAGACTCAGGACCATCAACTTGAAGCCTAAGTTATATCAAGTTAAAAAGAAATAAGGCTCAGAATCCATAGGATTTGTGACACTAGTTTAAAAACACAGGGCCTTGTCTTTAACTTAGCAGGCACTCAGTAAATATTTCTCAAAGAAACGAAAATAACTCCCATTCTTAATGCCCACAACTTGCACATGGCATTTGCTGAAGCCATTTGCACTCTATGCTTTAGACCCATCATTGCCTCTTGCAGGTGATGCAGCAAACACTAGAGATGGATGCTGCTGATAACTTTTCCAGTACATGGATCTTTTTCTTCCTACCTGAAGAAGCTAAGCTAAGCTATATTTTTTTTTCAGCAATTAAAATAATAACATCCCTTGCTATTTAAATATGCAAATGTCAGCTCGAACATAACTTGAAGCCATTGGTAACAATGTCTTTCTTGTCTATAAAATTAACTGGCAGCTCTGCACCTCTGGTGGGTTCCCTCAGAGAGTCAGCCACCGAACTGCCCCTAAGCTTTGTGCTTTGGAGTACCTGTTAAACCAGGAGACCGGGAACATTGGAGCTGCGGTTTATTGATATTTGGTAATATCAACCATGTTTATGATTCCCTCTCCCACCCTGTAACACAATGTAACAAATATGTTTTCACATTTTTGGAGCTGTGTAAGCACACACTAATTTTGCCATGTAGCTTTAGCTTTCATTCCAGTCTCAGAAACCCAGAGCTCTGAGTAAATTCCAGAAAAAATGGGAGTGTAAGGGGGAGGCTTATCCCCCCCACGCTGGAGATTCCTACACAATACTGGCGATCTGTTATTTGCTGGATTTCCATCATCTACATAGAACTGATGATTGTACCAACCCTTGGATTGAAACAGAGAGAAGAGAGTAAACTCTTCAGCAGAGGAAAAGAGTCCCGTGCTCCAGCACAGTGTCCAAATTTCAGAATGCAAATCAAAGATTCCTAGATAAATGGATTCCATTTGCATTCAAATGGAAAAAGAAGAAAGAAGGGGAGAGGGCATTTTTGTTGTTATAGTAAACTTTAAGAAAACTAAAAAAAAATCCCAGGTTCCAATAGACAGACTCATAATATCCAAAAGAATTTCTGGACCCTGGAAGTCCTGCTAAATTGAAATTTATTGAGAATGCTTTTAAAAATGAGAAAACAGAAAACAAACTAAAAATATAATCAGAAAAATAGAAGAAAAGGATAGGAAGTTCAAATAAATGATCAAAATCCATGGAGCTCAACCACCACTTGTCTAGTAATGAGCAACATTTCTACTACTGCCCCCTTCACGGCCAGGCTGGCTTCGAGTACCAAAGCGGAACTCCACGGGTGCCTGTCCCTGTCCCCCACTCCAGTAACTACAGTAAGTAGTTGCCCTGCCTGGCTCCGCAAGTCAAAGAATAGTCACTTAAATTTAAACTTACAGTCACTCCCCCAGTCGGGGTTGGTTAGCTCGTCTCCTGCCAGGAATGATGTGCTTCTGTCTGCTGAAGAGGGAGAAGTCTGTCAGTCCTTAAAGCTTATGCAGGATGAGAAGAAATCCAGTGTGTGCCCTAGTTTGTCTCTGTCTATGCACTGGTCCCCCACCCTTCCTCTCACCCACCTTTCAGCCCATCATATCCCTACTGCATTGCTTACAGACGATTCTCACCTTTTTCCAACAAGTTACCTGCTTTGAGCTAAACTGTGTCCCCCAAATTCTCCTGTGGGACATCCTAATCCCTAGAACCTCAGAATGTGACTGTATGTCTAAGTAGGAGCCTTTAAAGATGTGATTAAGTTAAAATGAGGATGTTAGGATGAGCCTTAATCCAATCTGACTGCTATTCTCATAAGAAGAGATTTGGAAAAAGAGGCTGCGTGCTTAGAGGAAAGACATTGTAAGGACACAAGGAGAAGCAGGCCCCGACCCCCCCACCCACCCAACCCCCGGGGTGAGCCAAGGAGAGAGGCCTCGGAAGAAGCCAGACCTGCTAACACCTTGATCTTGGACTGCTGGCCTGCAGAACTGTGAGAAACTATATTTCTGCTGTGTAGATCACTTAGTCATGGTATTTTGTTATGATGGTCCTAACAGACCAAGATACCAGTCCAAGTTAGATCAATGCAGCTCATAGCTCCTTCCTTTCTAATGCCATAGCGTCTATTACTGAATCTTCTATGCGGTGATCGATCAGTGGTATATCTATCACTATGCAAAGGGCATATTATCTGTGTTCTCAACACCACCACAATAGGAAACCTCTATTAACATTCTTTGAATCTCCTGTATCTCCTGCATAACGTGATCCACACAGGAATAAATTGAGCTTAAGATAAGGCCTGAAAATTGGAGTCAGGTCACTGGTGTGGAACCGGAACTGGCCTGCGGAAAAGGAAGCTGGGGAAGCGGATGTGATCCATCATAGCCAAAAAGGCATTTTAAATGCAATTTTGAAAAGGTTATCATTCAGGTGATTGTTGTTAAGGGTATGAGGGAAAAAAATGCATATCTTTTTAAAGTGGATAGTGAAAGCAATCATTTAGTAGGTTGCTAACCAAACCTACCAAAAGAATTTTAAAATTTTTGCAGCATTTTTTTTTAATTTGCAGATTTTTTTCAAGTATTTGTACTCCTTATTGCATTTTTTCATTTGCATTAAACAATATAATTTTATATTTTTCAGTATAGTTTTGGAGAAAACACAAAGACATTAACCTCATTTAACTAGAGACATAAGTTAATACAATGTATGCTGTTTTCTTTCATGGGAAGAAAAAAGAGGCACAATCTAAAACAAGTTTCTGTATGGAATTTCAGGATAAGAAGCAGCAAAAGCGACAGTGGACATTAGTTGGGGAAAGTCCCCCATAAGTCTCTCTGTCCTGGCTCGTACTTCCCACTCTAGATGGATGGGTTTCTGTACTCGTCCACTTGCCTAACTGTAATCTTCTGGAATACTGCACCTTCTTCACTGTTGTATCCTCATATAAGGCAAGGCCAGGCTCAATTGTGGGTGCTCAATAAATATTTGTGGGAGGGTGGAAAGGAGACAAGGGAAAGCCAATCAAATACCCTCTAGGACAATGTTTGCCCTTGCGCACTTACAGGGGAAGTTCCCAGAGATGGGCGCAGAGGGTTGCTGGCACTGCACGAACAAACGGGGGTCGGACAGAACTTCAAGGCAAGGCAAGTTCTTTGAGCATCCTCCCCAACACGATGCTTTCCATGAAAAAGAAATGATCGTGATATGTGAGGATTTTCTAGAAAATTGAATATTTATTTCCTTTTAAATATCAATGTATGTGCTATGTAAAAAGGCCTCCAGATTGCTTGGATTCCAGCTATTCCAATAATAATTTTCAAGCACATGTCTCCTGCTATGAGTTTTGCTTGTAATTGCTTCCACAGAAGGCTGCACATTTACAAGGCAAATGAAGCATAAAGAGAAAGAGAAACCAGAACTTCTCCATCCCTCTGTTTTCTTCCCCTACCTTTTGTTCTACTTGTTGAATTTTCAGGAAAGGGGCTCATTATAAATTCTATATATAGAACTACGGAGTTGCCTCACTTCCACAAAAGCGGGTTCTTAGGTTCCTGAAGACTAGGCCCCAATGATAGGATTTAGTATCTGATAACAGTATTTTTTTTTAACAGTAATAAAAAGGTGAAGTTGAGGAAAGATCATCTCGCAGATTTAGAATTACAAAAATAGCTTTCGAAAAGCAGAATTGGAAATACCAAATTTTAAATCTCCTATAAAACACCTCCAATTTGTCACTTCTCTGAGGCCAAAAAAAAAAAAAGAAAAGCCTATTCAATTCTGAAAGGCTGGTTATTAAAAAATCATAAATGTTCCTGTTGTTATACATGAGTGGCTCTCATTTTATACACGCCTTCCAGCAGTATTCACTATAAATTTAATATACATTCCCAGCGGTTTTCGTTATAAAGTTGAAGATATATTTCATAATCGGTAGATAAGATCTCTCAATAAGCTAAATTAGAAACTTCTGGAGGGGAGATTTAAGACGGTGTCCGACCGAAGCGTGTCCTGTTGTGGTAGAATATGCACATTGCACTACTTGTAAAACTGTGCTGCTGGCTGAGCTCCAACACAGCATCTCTGATGCCTCTTTCTTTCCTCACTGAACCAGACTCAAGCCAAGAAAAAAGTCAGGGAGCCCAACCAATTGATGACTGAGTCGTTTAACACAGGGAACCATTTTCTTTTGGCCATTTGCTCTTCTTTTGGCCATTTGAGCTCTGGTCTCCAAAACAAAATAAACATGTATTCCAGATGCCTCTTTGCTTTGTGAGATTTTTAAAAATGCTTTACCAAAGCTCTATAAGTCTGTAGAATTCCAAAGATTTCTCCTCCCCAACAGGCCCTTGACTTAACATCTAACTGCTGTCTATTTAAATTTCTGTTGGTTCCATAGAATAAAATCTAGTCCAACTGGTTCCTCAGAGTAGAAGTTCAAAACACCCACTTTCCTCTTCCTGAGAAGACTTACCCAAACCTTTTGTTAAATGGGGGGAGACGGGATAACCTTTCTGAAAGATATATACACAATCAACTTAGGTCCAGAGGAAGAATCATGGCTTGAGTTCAGCACATTGTAAAAATGCTAATTTTTCTTCACTCCTCTTACTAGCGGTTTTACTCCTCAGGACGGAGGCTCACGAACATGTTCTGGAGCTCAGTAAAAGGTTACATAGTGACCTTCATCCCACTGAGAGTTTTCCCCCCAATTTTTTTTAACCCTTGAATTTTTGTTTTCTCTTTATTCCTTAATTTTTAATTGGTCTTCAGTGCTTCAGAAACAACTGGTTCAGAAACAAATGCTTGCCTGGTTTTTTCCTCTTTTGGATTTAGGGCGCCCAGTGTTATATGGTCCTAACAGAGGGAAAACACGACCTACAGCAGAAGAGAAGTGCCTTTCCTCGGGCCCCAGAATCGTCCCACATCACACACACCCCAATGGTGAGAGGCAAACTTGGGGGGAGGGGCGAGGTGTTGCTGAAAGGGCTTTTGAGAACCATGGACTGAACACGTCTTTGCGTCTTCTAGAGGTGATCCCAGCCATATGCACACACTGTGCCCAAATAAATGGGGGCAGAATGGGAAAAAACTAAACATGGGGGACCCAGATTCTAATTCCAACTGGGATAGTAACTAACTGCAGAACTTCAGGGAAGGCCTTGGGCCTCCGTTTCATCAGCAGCAAAATGAGTAGGTTGGTGTAAGTGAGAGGTTCTCCTGGCCTGAAGACTCTGGAATTCCAAGTGATTTCATAAAGTGCTCATCTCTGTGCACTTGAAAAGCGACCTCTCTCCCATAGACTGGTAATATTTTTCAAATGTCACTGCTGCATTAACAAAAAGAATTTGATTGAAAACTTAACTGGGTTTCTAGTTACATTCTCCCTAGACACAATTTCTCAGTCAAATAGTTGTAAAAGTGTAATGAATTAATAATGCACTCTGGGGGGTGTGGGTCAAAAAGTCAGGGTGCCACTGGCATAGCTGCTCTCTGACATTTTGTGACTCTCAATTCCCCAAAGTTTTCAGGTTTCCTGGAGGTGAAAGTAAATAGGACATTTACATTCTTTCATTTTTCTCCACCTGAATGAGGGAAAGGGGAACAATTTTTCCAGTGAATCAGGGATCCGGTAAAGCGGAGCTTAACTTTCATTGTTAGCCGAGAAGCTGACCATTGTGGCAAAGAGGACGCAGCCAGGCACCTGGAGCAGCTCTTCTTTCTGCAGGAGCCTCTTCAGGGTCTCCCGCAGTGAAGGAGATGTACAACGAGCAGACACTCATTGTCCCAGAGAAGAGAGCAACCAGTCTGCCGATGAAGAGCTGGTGGCTACAGCAGTGAGTTTGCTCAGAGGTCAGGAGACTTTGGAAATGACAACTGGATGAGTCCATGACCTCTTCCTATAGAGAATCCGTTGTTATCGGTACTTCTCTCATAGTTAAGACAGCCTCTTCCAAGGGCTGCTCTCAGGAAAGGACACCAAGTGTCCCCAAGGCAGACTCCCAAGGTAAGAAAAGGAGTCAGCGGCCACGAGGTTTCATGGGCTTTCACAAGGGGTGATGGCTTTGGGTATTTAAAACTGTTGAGAATATGATGACTGAACAAATTCCTCTCTTCAAATTGAACCTTTATCCTCACCCCATAGTGATTCAATTTTCACAGTTCAATCGGAAACCACTTTCATGAGAAAAACATTGCCTGCTGGAGAGGTGGGGAAGATTCTCTGTGCATCAGCTTCCTCATTGGAAAAATGGGATAGCGACTGCCTATCTTTTAGGCTTGTATCAATTAAATGATTTATGTATGTTGGCTACTTATGACAGTGCCTTGCATACAGTAATACTTCATTACATGAAGATGATGATTTGTAAAAATTATTTATTCAAGATGAGGATAATAAATAATATCAAAAGGGAAAAAAAGTATGTTGTCACCCCAAAACTTCAACTGCTGACTGTATAGTCTATGTGTCAGCCATTAGGGCTGCTCAAAACTATTTCAGTTCATCTTCTTCCAGATGCATGTTAGGTCTGCATTCCTCCAACTGTTTTGAATTTAGACATGACCAATGTCATTTGTTGTTAGCATAGCATCCTAATAAACTATATCAATACATATTTATTGCTTTTATTTGCATCACTATTAGTATTATTTTAGACATTTACTATGTGCATTTAGAAGATTTCTAAAAATAATAATAAATTAGCATACATTTGGATGTATTGTATTTGATCTTACTGTGATAATTACACCTTTAGCACTTGTTCAAGTTTCTTTGCTTTCTTTAACATAAAATTTTGTTACTTAAAAAGCATCTCTGCCCTGGCTAGTGTGGCTCGGTGGACTGAGCGCTGGCCTGTGAACTGAAAGGTCACTGGTTTGATTCCCGGCCAAGTCACATGCCTGGGTTGTGGGCCAGGTCCCCACTTGGGAAAGTGTGAGAGGCAACCGATGTATCTCTTGCACATTGATGATTCTCTCCCTCTTTTTCTCCCTCCCTTCCACTCTCTCTGAAAATAAATACTTTTTTTTTTAAAAAAGCATTTGTGTGTGTGCATGTGTGTCCAGGAAGAAGAAGGATTTCCATTTTGAAAATGGAATGCCAATCTTGTGTTTTTCACTGACTTAAGGCTTACCCTGAACTCATTATAGTTTCTAAAGCCTTTTACATTTACCCTCTTTGGTTTGGGCAGAGAGCCCAAATACTACATCATTTTTTAAGTTCTAAGTGAGCCAGAAAAAAATCTATCCATCCACACGTAATTATTTCAGTTGTGCAACTATTACTGTTTTTGTTGGCAACAGACAAATGAGACCTTTCACTTGAATCAATCAAAATTTCATCTTTAGGCAGGAAATTCAATACATTTCATGCACTGTTTAATGACAGGGATATGTTCTGAGAAATGTGTCTTTAGGTGGTTTCATTGTTATGAGAACATCACAGAGTGCACTTACATAAAACCAGATGGTATAGCATACTACACACCTAGGCTGTGTGGCATAGCCTATTGCTCCAAGGCTGCAAAACAACATGAGATTAAATTTAGCATAAGAGAAAATGATGCAATCAAGAGATGTGGTAAATACAAGATGTATGAGGCTTTTCCCAACGTAACATGGCATATTGTCTTACAGGAAACTTTTTTTATACATAGAAAGAGTATACTCGAAAATAATGAAAAAAGTATAGTATAGTAAATACATAAACCACTAACAGTCATTTATTATCACTATCAAGCATTATGTGCTGCGCATAGGTGCGTGTGCTATCCTTTTATATGACCAGCAGTGCAGTGGGTTTGTTCACACCAGCGCCACCACAAACACGTGAGCATGAGTTGCCCTATAACATTGTGAGATCACTAGGTGATAGGAATTTTTGAGCTCCTTTATAATCTTATGGGACCATCATTTATATGTGGTCACTCGTTGACTTTATTATAAATGATTCCAAGCTTGTTTTTTTTGTGTGTTTTTAAAGATCTCGCCTCCTTAAAGAGGAGAGTAGAACCATTATCTGGAACTGCTAAGAGACAATTCAAGTAAATATTGACAAGGGGAAAAAAATACCTCAGGTTCAAAGCTCTAGTTGTTTCTCTTTGAACATCTTTTACCTGCCCATAACCTCTGATGAGGTTCCATTTCCTTGGACTACCATTACACAGGACTTGAGAGGACTCTTCTTGTTCCCCAGACAGGGCAGCAATAAATCTCCTGACATGGCAGGATCTCACAGAAAGTGATTTCTGGCATTTGGCAGGAGGATTGTGTGATTGCCAGAGATGTCATCGTAGGTGCTGCACAGCATGGGGCAGAGGGGAGAGGAGTGACAAGGTTAACCTGACAGGCTAGTTCTTCTGTTGATAATTCACACGAAACACAGGCTGGGTTTGAGGTGAGGAATGTGAAGCTCTTACCTGAGGAGGAGGAAGCTGTGGGCAGCAGGGCTCCTGAGAGCTTCGGATATTGTTGGAAAAGGGTAATGAAATGATTCATGAAAGAGACCTTCAAGGAGCCTTCTCCCCAAAGGAAAGCAAGACGGGAACTCTCACCTCGGAAGGAGATTTGGAGCACGTTGGTCTTGATCTTTTAAGCTAAGTATGTAAAGGGAGACTATCGTCAAGGCACTGTTTAAAAAGTAATAAGAAAGTATTATGTGGCAGATTTGATTCCAGATATATCTCTCACAACCAGCTGGGGAGAAGATGTACTCACACAGGCCACACAGATGGGGGTTGAGGGAGCGGCGTCCATGGTTGACAGAAGCGCCATGGAAACCAGCCCAGTTATGCTTGTCTGCTCTGGTGAGAAAAGCCCTAGTCCTCCTGGAGCTCAGAGGCTCCTGGGGTAGTCCACGCTGATGGTTTTTTCCACAGAGCAGCCCCTTGGCCCTGGCAAGCTGTCTCAGAAGCATCTGTCACCAGTGGAAGATTACAAGAGGAAGCATGTAAGTGGCTGGAGGCAGCCCTCTGCTCCTTGCAGGAAAAAGTCAGAGCAAAGTTCACATCCCTGGGGTGGAGGGCGTCCACACGGGGACATGGGGGGATAAAAGGAGGCTCAGGTTCAGTCAGTTGTGGATGCCAATGCCTTTGGCCACTGCTGACATCTTCCAGCTGCTTGTCTTTTCAGAGCACAGTATGCCAAATTGGACAGAGGAAGGAAAAAAAATGCAATAAAGCGTCCATTTCCATATAACATGGCTTCAACATAATGAGTATATCTTTCTGCTCTGATGATCAGAACTTATATATCCAAGTGGAAGCTTTCCTTAAAGGTTCTGAGCTTTGGGAAGCTATTCCCAAAGATACTCACACATCCAAACACTTAGCATTCTCCTCTTCAGGGTGGAGGATGGGGTGGTCTGGAACTCTCTCACAAGTCACACAAGAAAGTCTACTTGGTGTCCTTACAATCCCACTGGGTGCTGGGCCTGACACAGGGTAACCAGACATGGTTTCCTGCCTGTTTGACCTCACACCTGATTCTGTAGACTCAGCTTCCCATTATTTTGTTCCCCTTCAAAGGTGATGGATTTCCAACATTACATATATACAAAGTATGTGCCACATGTCTGAATTCCACTCATAAAGCAACAATCTTCAGAGAGTTCTCAGCAGCAGCTGGGCACTGCCCCGCAGGCACAGCCCAGCCCGGGAGAAGGGCACTGGGGCCTTTGGGCGCCTTCGGGCGGACTCTGTTGCGCTGCTCTGACAGCTGCCTGCTATCCCAGCCTCCCTTACTTAGTTCTCCCACAACCCCCATCTTCCGTGTCCCTGTTACTAGCCAACCCTTAAATACTCTTTTGGATTTGTCTCTGGCATCTGCTTCAATGCACAATCCAAAGAACTTCTAGAATCACAGAATAAATAACAGGACCATCTATCTGCTCCTTTCTTTGGGGGCAAACTCTGGTCCCGACCTTTCTCAGGTAGCCCCAGGTCAGAAACAGGATAAGCTTAATTCCTCCCATGTACAGTCAGTGGTCATCAATATTGGAGGTTTTAAGATCAAATAAGCATGCTTCAAATGCAGCTTCTTCGTGTCAAACTTGGACTCCCTAGAACCTCTCCATTGGGTTTTCAGGGGAATAGGTGAACCTAGAACATGCTGTGTCTGTGGAGGTACACACTCACACTCTCCTGAGCTGGGGATCCCAGAAGAAGACAAGCTCACTTAGGAGAGTGATAAAAGTGAAACAGCCTCTAATGGGAGTACCGGGCCAAGTACCTGGGGACACATCCCCCAGTGGGCGGGAGCAGTGAGAAGGCAAAATGGTGAGGGGAGGCAAGTAGGCAGGGGCCCGCACTGTCTCCAGCAGCAGGAGCTGCTTTCCATGAAGCGGAGGCCCCAGCGCCACCCCTGCCTTTCCCTCTGAGAACCATCGTCTCCCCTGAGACAAGTCCACAAGCCAGTCCTTTCCCACACTCACAAAGCATTTTTCAAGGGATAGATAAATACCCCTTCCACTGTGTCAATAGGCAGACTGAAAACAAGAAGCCCCAGAGGACAAAGGCAAGATGTCCAGGACTCAGAGGCTGAGTGGCCATCCAGCAGCAGCATGAACCTGAAGGCCTGAGGCCAGAAGAGACCCCTGCGTCCCAGGAAGGGCTGACCCCATGTCCTGGAAGAGGAGAGATGGCAGTCCAAAGGGACCCAATACTTGCCTAGCAAATGCTCTTGAATGTACTGTATTTGTTTGCTTTAACTACTAGTCATTTTGGCTGCAGTTTCATCGTATTGTACATCTTGGGGTAATTTCACAATCCCCTTTGTGTGAAGCCTCTCCTGAAGAATCTAGAAGAATCCCAATAAATATGAATGTTCAGGGGATAGTAGATTGTACCTGATTGTTTACTCGCTCTTTTATCCCACCTAGACAAAAGAATTTGAGAAAGTTATTGGCAAGATTAAACACACACATGCAAAAGGCACAGTAAGCTGTTAAAAAATATCAGTTGACTAAAAAAAAAAATCATACTTCATCGCACATTTAAGTGCAGAAGCCTGTGCTTCTTTTCTTCCAAGTACGTGTGTGTAAAGGGCTCCCTCGCTTCTAAGCTGCATCAAAGGTCAACACCCAGTTTAAAGGACGCCTTGTCTTCAAAGTATATAAAAGGTCAGCCTTCAGTTCACATGTGAGAAAAGGAAGGTGGGAAGAAAAGGAGCTTCACATAGCATAACACTGAAGTTTTTCTTACCAAAATGTCATCACAGCAATAAGAGTTATAACCAAGGTCTGGAAAACCCAGTTAGGACACCACCATTTTTTCCTGCAAAATAAACCTACAACAGGATTTGCTCATGAGCAGTGATACAGCAGCAACGCTGAGAGAAGGGCGCCCGGGGACTCGCTCCCAGCGGGGGCCTCGCTCCCAGCGGGGGCCTCCTTGCTCCCTTGGGATGGTCGGTGTGCTCCCTTCAACCTGCATCTCCCTCCTCCTCCCTGCCTCCCTGAAAACACAGCTTTCTCAAACCCCATCTCAACTCCGTCCTTTTCCTGACACTCCAGGCTACAGGAATTGCTATTTTCCCCTTACGGCCTGCAGGATGATGGTCTGTGCCATTCACTTAGCACTTTCTCTTGAAGCTCTATGAGAGGAGAGGACCTAACACACAAGATCCTGTCAGAATCCAAATGTCCACCTCTTTCAATCAAACACCTTTCAAAATCAAAAGGTTTTAAAGACATGATAGAATAAATCCTAGTGGAAGAATTTCAGGCATCATGACAAACCATGGAGAAATTGTTTGTGGCATGAAACATTACCAAATTAAATCTGACACATCTGTATCTAAAGCTGTCATCTGTTTTTAAAAATAGTTCTGGACCCGTGTCTTATTTGTCCATTCACCAAATATTCATAAAGTGCTAATATGTAGAACAACACAGGGGATATGAAAATAAGTAAATTACAGTCTCTAGGAAGTGAATGAGACAAAGATTTAGGACTGATACATATTGGCATAAAAACTTGCCTGTGGGGAATGGACCAAGAACTGCAGGGTAGACAGCTGCGCCCGAGCTGGGAAATCTGGCCAAAGAGATAGAGGCTTTTCTGCTCCTTTAAATCAGGTGTTCCTTAAATACGAGGTTTCCTACGAGTGCCATGGGGAATAGTATGTTTTCTTCCTCCTGGGGGAACAGGGTAGAATTACGCTTTTGATGGGAAGCAAATAGAAGGATGGTGGTAGTTAAGAAATGGTTTTAAATTGGTCTTTGTTTAAATTTCCTGAATATTAAGAATGGTGAACACATAGGCAGCTCTTATTAGGTGCCATAAATTCTTCTGAATGTTTCACATATACTGCTTTTGTTAATCTTCACAATACTCCTCAACAGTCTTATGAGGCAAGTAGTGCTATTCCCATTTTTCAGAAGAGGAAAACGAGGCCCATGAAGCCTGGCTTCCTCACCCGGGATCCCATAACCGGTGAGTGAGAAAGGCAGGACAGGAACCGAACAACATTTGTCCCCAGAATCTGTGCACTTAACCACAGTGCTATGCTGCTTCCCTTTTTCTGTCTGTAGGAGAGGGAAATACCCTACAACTTAGATATTAATTGTTATTATTGAAAAGGTCCTCATGGCTTGCCAAATGAACTCCTTAACCTGGTGATCCAGAAATTGAGCCTAACCTATATTTTCAGCCTCATGTTCTAGTCTCTTCCCTAACCAACCGCCCCCTCGCCCTTTAGGGAAGCCAGTGTCATCTCCCGGACCTCTGCTCATGCCATTCCGTCTGAAGCCTCTCCTACAGCTCCTGCTGGTCCTGCCAATGTGTACTCTTTCTGAAGGCCCAGCTCCCTTAATACTCCTGCCACACTCTGAGCTTCTGCAATATTTATCCCATTCAGGTACAGCTGCTCTTTGCCTTTCCTTCTGATCTTCTCTGGCTACCTTGCAATTATTTAGTTGAAGAGGCCATATGTCACTTTTATCTGCAGACGTTGCCTGCAAGGGGTCTCCCAGTTGAATGGGTGCTCCCTAATGCTCATGTCACTTCATGGCTCTGTGTCCACATCCCAACCCCCACCCACCTGCACGTCCAAGACACTGAACCACATAGTGTTTTTAGTTTAGACTGTGAGACTTCAAGGAGTATTTTCAGACTGAGCTCTCTATTCATTTCTCCATTCATTTGACAAGAATTTCTTGTATACCTACTATGTGCCAGACCCCAGACAAAGTGTAAGGAAGGTCAGGAAGGTAGACAGGGGGCCTGGTTTCATGGACCATACATCCTAGTAAATATTCTGAGAGAACGGCAGAATGGATTCTTTGGGTGCAACACGCAAGCTAAAGAGGTTGCACATGACCAAACTGCACCTATTTGAGTCACTGTGGATGTTGATACGACCCCCTCCATCCCATTGCAAACTGGTTAGTACTGAGAGCACCTTCCTGACACAATATTTTTAATGTTTTGTGTTTATTGAGCAGCCTGCTGAGTGCTGAGCACTGTGCTAAGGGCTTTAGCTCATTTAATCCTATCAACAATCTCTGTGAGGTGTCATACTACTATTATCACTATTTTCCAGTGCAATTAAGTAGCTTGCCCAAGAACACTTATACATAACAAGAAACTTGGCAGCAACATAACATTAAAGTAGTTTTTAGTATAATATTAAACCCTTTCTGAATCTTTTTATAACACTTCAGTGTAGTACAACATGAGGAGTAAAGAGAAAACTAAGGCAATGGCCTTAACGTCAGGAAAGGGCACCTTCCTCCAGAAGGACACCTTTGGGACACCAGTGGATCGGAGGGAGCAAGCTGCGGTCCTAGCTGAACTGCAGCTAGAAAAGGAGTATTGTAGCTTCTCCCTCACAGACACTTCTTTGCAACAGAGAGGGTGTCCTTCAAGTTATTAAATGATTAACCTTCATGTTTTACTGTAAATGCCATCCTATGAGATGAAAGTCCTCTATTCATTAAGAAAGCCATCGCATTTTAACCTTTGCAAGCAAGTGAATGCCTACTCTCCATTTGCATATATACAACTAAATATCAAAGGGAAAACAGGGATTTGAGCATTAACTGGCATCCCTTTGGGATCTTCTGAAGTCAAAGATAAGGGACCCTGTGGAGTGAAGGCATCCATCCACACAGAGCTTACAGCCCAGGGCCACATGCATGTGGAGGCCATCGATTTCGCATGACAGGGACACGAGAAATAAAAACCAGTAGAATAATAATTCCGAAATGAGCATGTTCTGTACTCATTTCTCCAAACCTTGCCTTGAAAAACCAGATAATATCTATTAACAGGCTAATATTTAAATACCTGAATGTATAAGGATGCAAACTAGGGAATTCATCAACAAATGAAGAAAAAAAAATCTTGATCTATTCCTCTAAAGACTTTTTTTATATAGAAAATATTTTCTCTGTTCATTATAAATGTAAGTGTATTTACCTTGTTGGGTTTTTTTTGAAATGGTCCTTCTTGGAGGAGTGCTAACGGCTCTGCTAAATTTGCTTTAAAAAGAAAAAGAATTAATTACTATTCAAACGCCCCTCCAGGAGTTACATGACAAAGGCCCAGGCGGTCACTAACGCAGCAGTAAGACTTTTTTTGTAATACACCAGTAATTTAAAAAAGGAAGTCAAAGCAGCAGTTGAGAGTTCCTTTTGTGGAAAAGAACCTAGGTAAGCATAAATGAACGCATTAAACGTTACATTTCTTTTTCTCAAAATTATACCCCAGGAAATGTGCATTTACCTCCTTGAGTAATAAAAAAAAAAAAAAAAAAAAAAAAAGCTTTTTCCCTGAGGACCAAACATGGTTTTCTAAATTTAGAAATGGCCGCCTCTACCAGTTAAAGGAGAAGCCACCCTTTTACGAAAATGTAATGCTTCTTATAACAACTGCTCTTAAACAGATGCCTGATGTTTGTTCTCATTTTTAAAGCTGCAACAGAAAAAATAAGAAAATGACCATATAAGGCAATTGTGTTTCAAAACAATAAAGACTAAATTATCAGAAACTAATGGTTGCTGCTTGATCTAGGTATGGAAAGATTCCACTGCTTTCTCCAGGTTCCCGTGGCAGTCCTGGATATACCTGACCGAGCTGGCTTCACTGGCTGAGGACTTCCAATACTGAGCTGCTTTAGCCTGGCCAGCTTTCAGTTCCATATTTCTAACTCCTCTATTCTTTCTTCAAGGTTGTTGGTTAGTTTGCAGAGCTGCTTCACTGCACCTACATTTTCCATAAAGATCTGGTCCTAAAAATAAAAATGATACAGAGTATATAAATTTATAAAATTGAGAAGACCAGAGAACGGTCCATAGCCCATTCAAAGACAGTAGGAACACACCATTGAAAATGATTATGCACAACCTCAAGTTTATTCAAGATACATCTGGAGAGGTCTGCAACTTAGAGTGGTCTTGCTAAACTGCTGGCTGCATAGTAAAACTGCTTATGTTCAATTTGCAATAAAATGGAAATATGTCCTCATAATCCAAGAGAAGGAATGGAGCTGAAGGGCATTGTCAAGTTTGGAATCTGAAGAATTATTTTCAATGGCCATGATGCTATATTTAAAACTCATAAAAAGAAAGAGCAGGATTCTGAATGTTGATTTGTGTGTGCATCACTAAATCCTCTTAAGAAGTGACCCCAGTTCTTCCTGGTAAAAAGTGCATTCAAGTGCTCCGGTGAAGAAGGGAGGAATGGGGACCTGGGCTTTTCTCTGATTTCTGCAACTTACTAGATGTGAGATGTGGCTAAAACCCAACAGCCTCTCTGTAAAAGAAGGGGAACATTCCTGAGGTGTTCATTTCTGCTTTAACTTCCAATGAGCTAGCACATATATTTCAGTCTAACTCCCAAACAAAATTTAAAACAACAGCAACACTTATTTCTTTCTGTTCAGAGAAAGTCACTGACATGTCAGAAAGAGTGAGAAAAGGGAAACCAACCAAAGGCAGGATGTGTAAGCCTTCCCTTCCCCCACCCACATACTTCAGTTGTCATAGGAACAAGTGTATCTCTGTCTTGGCCGTAACAAAACCCCTGGAAAGCTCTCATCAGCTCACACCCTGATCCCATGACCTCTCCTCTTCCCCCACTGTTTACAAGTTCAGAAAGCCACTGTGCTCTTTGGGGCTCATAGTGGCTGCTCCACTATTGTAAAGGAACGAGCTAGAGACCAAAGAAGAAAGACCATTTTGTGGTTAGGGAATCATACTTAAAAGTGTGTGTGTGTGTGTGTGTGTGTGTGTGTGTGTGTGTTTTAAGATTCCCATCAAGCAAACCAAAGTTTTGAGGGTTTCAAAAGCTGTAAAGCAACCACTCAGAAAGGATTTGAAAGCCGAACATAATGGATTTAAGACTTAGTTCATACAGTTTAAATACATGCACGCTGCTATGGAACAAACTGGTAAAGGTAAGTATATGGTCAATATTTGAATACTCTACTACTGTAATATGATGGTATATAAATCACTTAACTCTAGTATAAAGGTTAAAGGAAAAAAGCATTAAAAATAACTACAGCTACAATAACTTGCCAATGGTACACACATTAAAAGAGGTAAATTATAAAATCAAAAACATAAATGGGTAGAGTTTTTGTATACACATATGATGGAAGTTAAGTTGCTATCTGCCAAAAATAGGTTGTTATTATCTCTAAGGTATTTCATGTAAGCCTGACGGGAACCACAAAGCAGAAACTTACCATAGATACAAAAATGATAAAGAGAAGAGAATCAAACTATACCACTACAGAAGATCATCAATTCACCAAGGAAGACAGCAAAAGAAGAAAAGAACAAGAGAAATACAAAACAGCCAGAAAACAATATGATGGCATTATTAAGTCCTTACCTATTAATAACTGTCTTAAAAATGGATAAAATTCTCTAATCAAAAGGCAGAGAATATATGAATAGATTAAAAAAAAAAAAAGGAACAACACCCAATTGTATGCTGTCTACAAGAGACTCATGTCAGCGTTAGGGCACACGCAGACTCAAAGTAAAAGAACGGAAAAAGATTCTAATGGAAACCAAAAGGGAGCAGGGGTAGCTATACTTAAACCAGATAAAGTGGAATTTAAGTAAAAAACTCTAACACAAGACAGAGAAGGTCATTATATAATGATAAAGGGGTTGTCAATTCATCAAGAGGATATTGCAGTTGTAAATATATATGCAGCCAAATTCAGTTTGAGATGAATAAGTCTGGGGGCTCTAATTACAGCGTGGTGACAATAGCTAACAATACTGTACTATATACTAGCTAACTGCTAAGAGAGCTGTAGGGAAGCAGGATTTTGCCACCCCAAAATATGTCTCATTGGCATGAGGATTATTTTAGGCTGATTATTTTTAAGAAACAAAAGACTCAGGAAGAGCTTCTTACCTCCCCCTTAACTGCCTAAAATAATTCAGATGGAGGGCCGTTTCAGGAAGAGACGCGACCCCCAGAGATCACCAGGAGGCTAGGATCCAGGCGTGGTGACCAGGGCGCGGGGGTGGCGGGGGCTGGGCCAGCGCCGCAAGCGGGAGTGTGGACTCGGCAAGGCCTGTTTGTTCAAAGTCTGCTCTGTGTCTCATTGTCTCCACTTGGCATAGCACACATCTATTTACCAAACATTTGTTTTTTCATCTTCACATAAATTGCCTCCCTCTCCTTTGAAGTCCCAGACTCCCACCCCCTTTATCTTTAGGTCTGGGTGGCAGACAAGCCTCAACTGCCTGGTTGTCTCTGGGCCCTCGTATTCTTATGGAGCAATGTACAAAATTAAGCTTGGGTTTTTCTCCTGTTACTTGTCCCTGTCAACTTAATTCTTAAACAAGATATAAGAATCTATAAGGATAGAGGAGAAACTTTTCCTCCCCAACAGAGTAAATCTAAATGTTCTCACCATACACACACAAAAGGGAATTATGTGAGGCAATGGATGTGTTAACTAACCTTACTGTAGTAATCACTTTGCAACATACACGTGTGTCAAGTAATCATGCTGTATACTTTAAACAATGTTATATGTCAATTATTTCTCAATTCACTTGTGAGGCAGAATGCTTTATCTAAGTAAAACAAGATTGCACATGAATTGATAACTGTGGAATCTGAGGGAAGTAGATGCATGGGTTTCATCACTATTCTCTCTATGTTATGTGTTTGAAATTTCTCATTAAACATGTTAAAAATAAACTACAGAACACAAACAAACCAAAAAAAGAATCTCCTGACGAAAACTGTTCTAAAAATTCTAACTCTAGTACAGGGTTTTTCTACTTCTAAATTTGCTTTAATAAATATACAGCAGAGATCATGAAGTTAAGGATAAAATTCTATGGTCCTAAATCATAGTAAATGTCATTCGATTTCACGCCATAACTGTAACTACAGTACTGAGTGGATCAGGTGGTCGGCTGATGTCCACCCAGCAGCCCAGGGAGGCTCCCAGCCGCCAGCTGCCCCCTCCAGCGGCTCCTCCACAGGCAGCCAACCCACCAGGCTCTGCTGGCAGTTCAGCAGCCTCCTTCTCCGGAATCCACCCACTTTTCTGCATCCTCACTGGCACTACTACACTTTATATATATATATATATATATATATATATATATATATATATATATATATAGTTGTTTTTTTTTCTTGGCTACTAGCTTCTTTAAAAAAAAAACTTCCTTTGATACATTGATTTGTGATTTGGCCGCAACCAAAGCAGACCATGGAGAATGATGCTAATGTCCCCTCTAAACCACAGCACGTTCTTTGCAATATCTCCCCAACAGGACTTTACCACTGCCTGGCGAGATCAGAGCGATGACTGCATTGTCCAGTTACTTGTCATTAATAATAAAAGTCAGCTCTGATCTGACCAACTCAAATTTGCCAGCCTGATGCATCTTCTAGGTACATCCAATAAATAGGCCAGAAAATAATTCGCCTGCTTGTCCTTTCAAGAGAAAATAAAGGTGGAGGGGGATTTCCTTGTGCCTTCCTAATTATGTTTAAGGCCCTAACTGTAGGGATCCAATGGAAAAATACCAAAAACTGAATCTCTAGGACATGTTATGGGGATTAACTCTTACTAAAACACTCTTACTTCTGTCCTCTATCATCATAATAAAGCCAGTACAAAGGTGGGAGAAGGTAGGTTTACAGTAGTGTGTATGCAAAACAGAGTTTATTCTTGTATTACCATTTATTAATTATTGTATTTTTATTTGTATGTCAACTGCAAACCTACTTTTGCCCACCCCTGTATAAATATATTTAAAAATTCATCTAGAATTTTCTGAAAATGTCCTTTTTCCTGCAAGTGAATGATCTCGATGAGTTCACTTTAACCTTGAACGTGCACCTGGGCACCTGAGAGGCTTTTTCTAAATACACACATCCAGGTCCCACTGAGAGGCTTGTTTGCATTCATTGGGACTGAGACAGGCATAAGGCTGGGACATTTTGAAAAGCTTCCCCATCTGATACCCACTGTTTGTTAAAAACTATTTTATAATTGAACTAACCTAATTACTCAACTTTGTCTTGTTATGATTGACTATTTTAAAGGGGACCCATTACCTCAGCAGAAATGTAATTTTGCAGTTGGGATGCAAAAATGATTAAGCCAGCTTGCCACCAAAATTGCTCATGAGGCTGGGGTGCAGGAGCTGCTTCAAATCACACAAGAATCTTCTCCCCACTGTTGAAGACTTGCTTTGAGGTAAGAGTCCATGCAAACAGCGTGAGCGTATTTTCTGAAAGGACACATAGGGCAGTTTGGCAAGGTCGTGTGTACACGTCAACAACAGGGAGACAGCTGTGAAATCCGAGCTGCTCTCTAGCTTCGAGTGGGTCCTTTATCTAAGCTCTGCCTTTCCCCAGAGCCCCCTTTACACCTTGCGCTCTAATCATACTGAACCATTTGCCCTTCACTAAACTAGCAGAGGCTTCTCCCTTTCCCTGAACCACCTGTTCTCCCCTCTTCCCACTTCCCTACACTCCGTGTCTTGTTTACCTGTAGTATAAACACCCAGCAACTGGCCCCCACATTGTGCCCACAGCCAATCCTCCAGCAAAAAGCAGTAACTCAGTACATGTTGGATGACCGACTGAATGAATGTACTCATATTCTCACAATGGCAGTTCACGCTACAAGCCATTGAGAAGTCACAACATTGTACTCTGGTAAGACTGAAGAGACTGGCCAAGCTTCCAGGGGTTTTTTTTGTGTTTTTTTTTTTATCTGAGGTTTCTCTC